CTATAGATCCAGAGCTCCAGGTCCAGAACTATAGATCCAGAACTATATATCTAGATCCCCAGGTACAGAACTATAGATCTAGATCTCCAGGTCCAGAACTATAGATTCATAGCTCCAAGACCAGAAGTATAGATCCAGAAGTATAGATCTAGAGCTCCAGGTCTAGAACTATAAATCTATATCCCCAGGTCCAGAACTATAAATCCAGAGCTCCAGGTCCAGAACTATAGATCCAGAGCTCCAGTTCCAGAACTAATGATCCAGAGCTTTAGGTCCAGAACAATAGATTCAGAACTATAGATCTTGGGCTCTAAGTCCAGAACTATAGGTCTAAAGTTCCATGTCCAGAAATATAGGTCCAAAAGTATAGATCTAGAGCTCCAGGTCTAGAACTATAGAGCTAGATCTCCAGGTCCAGAACTATAGATCCAGAACTCCTGGTCCAGAACCATAGCTCTAGATATGCAGGTCCAAAACTGTAGATCCAGAGCTCCAGGTCCAAAACTATAGATTTAGATCTTCAGGTTGAGGATGATAGATACAGAGATCCAGGTTCAGAACTATAGATCCAGACCCCCAAGTCCATAACTAGAGATCCATAACTATAGATCTACAGATCCAGGTCCAGAACTATAGATTTAGATCTCCACTTGCAGCACTATAGATCCAGAACTCCAAGTCCAGAACTATAGATCTTGAGCTCCAAATCCAGAACTATAGATCCAGAGCTCCAGGCCCAGAACTATAGATCTAGATCCCCAGGTCCAGAACTATACATCAAGATCTCCAGTTCTAGAACTATAGATTCAGAGCTCCAGGTCCAGAACTATAGATCCAGAATCAATCAACCTTTATTTAGACAGGTAAATCCCATTGAGCCTCCAGGACTCATTTACAAGAGAAACCTGATTTCAACAAAGAACGATGACAACAATGGACAACAGTGACAACAATAAACAGTTATAAAAAGTCATACTGCAGGTTTTTTTTTAAACAAATAGGATGGCTAAAAAGTAACAAAAAACATCTAGATTCTAAGGCGACTGTAGAAAACTAAAAACAGGAACATGTCTGCATTGGTCCCTGCCAGGAGTCCAACAGATTCTTAAAGCCACTTAGAGAGGTCAAAGGTCGAGAGCTTCAGATCTTTTTACAAGATATTCCAGGAAACAGGAGCAGAGTAGGAGAAGGTCCTTTTGTCTAGTTCAGTCCTCACTGAGGGAACACTGCAGGTAATGATGTCCTGAGAGCGCACGCTGTAGCTGCACTCACGCAGAGACATGTAGGAGGAGATGTATGAAGGCAGCAGACCAGGAAGTGATTTAAAGATGAAGATGTACCAGTGGGAGAGTCTGTGTGAAGTTAATGGTGACCAGTTAACCAGTGAGTACTGGGTGCAGTGGTGGGTACGGTAGTTACAGCCAGTTATGAATCTTAGTACGCCATGGTAGACAGCATCCAACATCTGCAGCATCCAACATCTGCAGCATCCAACATCTGCAGCATCCAACATCTGCAGGGTTCTTGTAGGAGCATTCATGTAAATAATGTCACCGTAATCAATGGAGGGAAGGAAAGTCACAGATACAAGGTGTTTCCTAACATTCAGAGTTAGACAGGATCTGTTTCTGAAAAAGAAACCCAGTTTAACTTTCAGTTTCTTTATCAAGTTTTCCACATGGAGCTTAAAAGAGAGATGCGAGTCAACTATCCATCCATCCATTATCTTTACTCGCTTATTCCATTTTGGGTCATGGGGGTCGCTGGTGCCCATGTCCAGTAATCACTGTGCGAGAGGTGGGGTACACCCTGGACGGGTCGCAAGTCCATCACAGGGACACATAGAGACAAACGAGACAAACAACCATTCACTCTCTCACTCACACCTAGGGACAATTTAGAGTTATCAATCAGAATAATATGCATGTTTTTGGTCTGTGGGAGGAAACCCGGAGAAAACCCACGCATGCACGGAGAGAACATGCAAACTCCACCCAGAAGGGCCCCTGGACCGGGGTTTGAACCAAGGACCTTCTCGCTGAGAGGCAGCAGCTCTACCAGTTGCGCCACCGTGCTGCCCGGCGAGTCAACCAAGATACCCAAATATTTATAGGAATCAACAAACTCAATGGGGACACCATTTGAGGATAAAATCAGAGGAAGAACTGCTGGGACCAACTTCCTATTTGAAAAAAAGCATCCCTTTGGTTTTGTCGGCATTTAGGACAAGTTTGAGGTGGAACTATAGAATTATACTAGAACTACTAGAACTATAGATCTTGAGCTCCAGGTCCAGAACTATAGATGTAGAGATCCAGGTCCAGAAATAAAGATACAGGTCTCCAGGTCCAAAGCTATAGATCTAGATCTCCAGGTCCAGAACTATAGATCCAAAGCTCCAAGTCCAGAACTATAGCTCTAGATATCCAGGTCCAAAACTGTAAATCCAGAGCTCTAGGTCCAGAACTATAGATCTAGATAATCAGATCCAGAACTATAGATCCAGAGTTCCAGCCCCCAAACTATAGATCTAGATATTCAGGTACAGAACTATAGATCCAGAACTATAGATCTAGCTATCCAGGTCCAGAACTATATATCCAGATCTCCAAGTCCAAAACTATAGATCCAGATCTATAGATCTTGAGCTCCAGGTCCAGAACTATAGATCTAAAGCTCCAAGTCCAGAAATACAGATCCAGGACTTCAGGTCCAAAACTATAGATCTAGATCTCCTGGTTCAGTCTTATAGATCCAAAGCTCCAAGTCCAGAACTATAGCTCTAGATATCCAGGTCCAAAGTTATAGATCTAGTTCTCCAGGTCCAGAACTATAGATTTAGACTTCCAGGTCCAGGACTACAGATACAGAGCTCCGTGTCCAGAACTATAGATACAAACTATAGATCTTGAGCTCCAGTTCCAGAACTATATATCTAGAGCTCCAGGTCCAGAACTAGAGATCCATAACTATAGATCTAGAGATCCAAGTCCATAACTGTAGATCTAGATCTCCACTTGCAGAGCTACAGAGCCAGAACTCCAGGTCTAGAACTATTGGTCCAGATCTCCAGGTCCAGAACTATAGACCCAGAGCTCCAGGTCCAGAACTATAAATCCAGAACTATAGATCTACAGCTCCAGGTCCAGAATTATAGATCTAGATCTCCAGGTCCAGAACTATTGATGCAGAGCTCCAGGTCAAAAGCTATAGATCCAGACCGAAAGATCTAGACCTCAATGTCCAGACCTTTAGATCTATATCTACAGTTCCAGAACAATAGAGCTAGATCTTCAGGTCAAGAACTATAGATCCAGAGTTCCAGGTCCAGAACTATAGATCCAGACCTGTATATCTAGATCTCCATATCCAGAACTATAGCTCTTGATCTCCAGGTCCAGAACTATATACCTAAAACTACAGGCCCAGAAACAGAAACTTTTTTCTCTATGCTCTTAGTGGAAGCAGATGTGTCCTCTTCTGCTCCATCCCCCCACTTCCCTGCTTTGCTCTCTTTCGTCGTGTGAACACTTCAAAGTGCCCCTTTTTTTCCCCTGCATACTTCCCTAATTCAAAGAATTTGAATTTGATGGGGGGTGCTCTGGAATATGCTATGACCTTCCCTGAAAATTCAATGTCTTTACCGGCCTATATGTACATGTATCACATCTATTTATGTTGCCTTGCTGTGGTAGGTTTTTTGATGCCTCAAATTGTGCCCTGTCTAGGACAAGGTGTGAGAGATCTTTTTTTAAACCATCTCTCCTCGTGTTTTCTTCCCTTTTTTCATCTAAGCAAAAATATTATTTTGAATAAGAATAAGAGGGCCGCGCTTTTTATAGTAGCAGCTTCGTGCACTATGTCCATCCTTCGGACGACTGTACGTACATGTTCTCGTTGTATCTTGGTGCAATGATAATAAAGCTTATTCTGATTCTGAAATATAGATCTAGCTCTCAAGGTCCAGAAGTATAGATCTGGATCTCCAGCTCCAGAACTATATAGATCTCAGGTCCAGAAGTATAAATCTAGATCTCCAGCTCCAGAACTATAGATCCAGATCTCCAGGTCCAGAACTATAAATCCATATCTCCAGGACCAGAACTATGGATCCATAGCTTCAGGTCCAGAACATAGATCCTGAACCATACATCTAGATCTTTAGGTCCAGAACTATAGATCTACTTCTCAAGGTCCAGAACTATAGATCTAGATTTCCAGGTCCTGAATTATACATCTAGATCTCCAGGTCCAGACCTGTAGCTCTAGAGCTCCAGCTCCATAACTATAGATCTAGATCTCAGGTCCAGAACTATAGATCTAGATCTCTAGCTCCAGAACTATAGATCCAGATCTCCAGGTCCAGAACTATAAATCCATAGCTTCAGGTCCAGAACATAGATCCTAAACTATACATCTAGATCTTTAGGTCCAGAACTATAGATTAATATTTCCAGGTCCAGAACTATAAATCCAATACTATAGATCTAGATCTCCAGGTCCAGAACTATAGATCTAGATTTCCAGGTCCTGAACTATACATCTAGATCTGCAGGTCCAGACCTGTAGATCTAGATCTCCAGGTCCAAAACTATAGATCTAGATCTCCATGTCCAGATCTATAAAGCCAGAGCTCCAGGTCCAGAACTATCAATCCAGAACTATAGATCTAGAGCTCCAGGTCCAGAAAATGATTAATTCTGTCAGTAATGTTTGTCCTCAGTACTCAGAGTGTGTTTGGTACCAGAACCAGACTGAGCAGATCTAAAGCTGAACAACTTTCAAAATAAAAACCTGCCTCGTGATGATTTTCATATTTATCTGCCCAACAGTTCCTGCTCCATCCACCCTTTGCTAAAATGTCTTGATGACATCAAGACTTGGATGGCTGTGAACTTCTTGAATTTGAATGATCAGAAAACTGAGGTCATTGTGTTTAACCCAAGCTCTACCACTGATCCTGTAAAGCTGGACTCCCTTCAGCCACATCTAAAACAGTCTGTTACCAATCTCAGGATGGTTTTAGACGCAGACTTTAATAAACAGATCAACTCTGTTCTTCATAAAAGCTTCTTCCAGCTAAGGCAGATAGCTAAGCTCAAGTCCATGCTGACCAGATCCCATCTTGAAAAATTAGTCCATGCCTTCGTGACAACCTGGCTGGACTGCTGTAACTCACTTTATGTTGGCATCAGTCAGGTCTCTTTCACTTCTCCAGCTTGTCCAAAATGCTGCAGCTCAGCTACTAACAGGAACTCGTAGGTTTCTTCATATCTCACCGGTTCTGTCCTCTCTTCACTGGCTTCCTGTGCGTGTCAGAATTGATTTTAAAATTCTCCTGCTGACATTCAAGTGCATTAATGGCCTTGCACCATCATACCTCTCCAATCTTCTTCATCCTTATGCTCCTTCTCGGGCTTTGAGATCATCAGACCAGCTGCTTGGTGGTACCAAAAACCAGGTTGAAGCTCAGAGGAGCTTGAACGTTTTCAGTTGTGGGCTCTGGAACAATCTGCTCTTCAACATCAGACAGGCCACCTCAGTCTCTATTTTTAAATCTTTCCTCAAAACACACCTGTACTCACTGACACATCTGTACCCACTGACACACCTGTACTCACTGACACATCTGTACCCACTGACACATCTGTATTCACTGACACATCTGTACTCACTGACACATCTGTACTCACTGACACATGTGTATTCACTGACACATCTGTACTCACTGACACACCTGTACTCACTGACACACCTGTACTCACTGACACATCTGTATTCACTGACACATGTGTATTCACTGACACATCTGTATTCACTGACACATGTGTATTCACTGACACATCTGTACTCACTGACACATGTGTATTCACTGACACATCTGTACTCACTGACACATCTGTACTCACTGACACATCTGTACTCACTGACACATCTGTATTCACTGACACATCTGTACTCACTGACACATCTGTACTCACTGACACATCTGTATTCACTGACATTTAACACAGGGTGATCGGATTTAGATTTTTTCTTTTATTCTGATTGTGTTTATACTTTTTGTTTTATTTTTATTTAACTCACGGTCATCTGATATGATTTAGTATTTCTTTCTTTCTGAATAAGTTTATGCTTTTTTGTTATTATTCTGTGACATTTGACACAAGGTGATCTGATTTAGTATTTCATTGTTTCTAATTATGTTTTTTGTTTTTATTTTTTTATTCCAGATGCTGTAATTATATCTTGTTATTTTTATTCGATGCTGTGATCTTTTTGTTGAGCACTTTGGTAACAGTTTCTGTTTTAAATGTGCTCTATGAATAAATCTGACTTGACTCTTCAGGTTTCCTCTAACTTCAGAGGTCCGGGCTTTGACCTGATTACTGACCAGACTTTAACCAGAACCAGACCGCAGCTCTGATACCGGGTCGATCTGAACTCATGGGTCTTTGATGCTCTGCGGCAAGGAGCGACCAATCAGCAGGAAGTAAAGATTTAACGCTGCGGGGTCAGGAAGTGTCGGAGCAGCAGGAGGCGTCAAAATTAAACCGAGCTGTTTATTGATTTATTATTTTAGTGTTTTATTTATTTATTATTTTAGTGTTTTATTTATTTATTATTTTAGTGTTTATTTTATGTATTAATTATTTTAGTGTTTTATTTTATTGATTATTTTAGTGTTTTATTTATTTATTATTTTAGTGTTTTATTTTATCCAACTTGGATTATTGAGCATGGACTTTGTTGTTTGTTTTATTTTATGTATTTATTATTTTAGTATTTTTGTTATTTATTCATTATTTTAGTGTTTTTTTATCTGTTGTTGAAGTAAACAACTGCTCGGAGGTCTGCTTAATAAAACTGAAATTAATAAATAAAAATAGTTTTTGGCGAAATCAGCATCCATCATCTGACCAGACCTGGTTCTGTTTTTTAGGTTCTTGTTTTAAACCGGACCGGTTTTGTTTGTGAGGTTCTGTTCAACCGGACCGGACCTGGTTCTGTTTGAGTTTCTGTTTAACTGGACGTGGTTCTGTTTGTGTTCAGTGTCTGTCAGACTCGGAGGACCTGGAGGACTTGGAGCAGGTCAGGAAGGATCTCATGGATGCTCTGAAGGAGGTCCAGGTTCTGCAGGTACACCTCCTCCAGCTGAGGGTCCACAGAAACCAGGACCTGGACCTGGTCCGGTCTGCTGACTGTGTCTTTGTTCTGGACTCTGGTTCTGACAGGAGCAGCTGGTCCAGTCTCAGAGGGTCCACCAGGAGCTGCAGGAGGAGCTCAGTCGAGTGCGACAGGTGCGTTTCACCTGCAGAACAAACTCCTCAGCCTCTCAGAACGGAGTTTTATTTTGAAAGGTAACACTTTATTTTGAAGGGCTGACCAAAACAGAAACAGCTTCAGGTGCTCAGTTTGATTCAGTGGTTCTGACCCGGTTCACCAGAAGTTCCCCACTCAGGATCAGAACCAGCAGCTGGGTTCTCTTCACTCTCTTCCTCTGTGTGTTTGTGTAGAAAAAGATCAGCAGGTGGAGCCCTGATCTCACACACTGCCCCGTGTGTGTGTGTGTGTGTGTGTGTGTGGGGGGGGGGGGGGGGGGTGACAGTGTCCTTCTGCTGCTGTTTCTACAGAGAACATTTCTTTGGTTCTCTGTAGACCACAAAAACTGATTTAAACTGGTAAAGAAGGACTTTAGCTCCTCCGAGAGACTCTCCTTCAGCTGATGGACTCACATTAAACAGGAAGTAGGAACCAAACAGCTGGAACCAACTCAGGAGAAAGTAATTCATGTGACCTGCTGGCCCTCAGAGTCTGTGTTGTGATGACTCTCAGCTACTACCACAGCCGATTTCAGCTCAACACCTGTATTTTTTCACCACTTGCTCTCGTCGAGATCGGATGCTTCTCCCCTCCCTCTCCGCTTCGCTGCTCTGTCTGTCTGTGAAACTGCTTCTGAGCCTCTCTTGCATCTTCTGAACCATAATTATGGACTTGTTTTGATCAGTTGGTCCCTCAACTCAATTTACAACATTTCTTGAAGAGAAGACAGGCTTTAGGCGAGCCGATTTGCCCTGTTGGCACGCACACAGCTGGATATCTCATCGACTGGAAGACTTGATGATGTGTCTATCTCTGCTGCCATCTGTGGATTTTAAGGACGCATATTTAATTGGATTCACGATAACTGGTTCCTGCTATTTTGGATTCAGCTGGTGCTGGTTTTATCTACAATCAAGGAAGTCGTCGGCAGCAAATTTGGACCCGATCACGCTGCTTGTCTTTATGATGACTTGGTTCGTGCCTCGAGTACCCAGACTCAAATGCTTTGGGCTGAATGGATCAGATCTTGGGGATTTTACTCAGTCATGATCCATCGGTGTGGCCATGTTAATCTGGACATTTCAGAACCGAGTGGACCAACACAGACTCAAGGTAGATGTCATTAAGTTCTGCCTGTCCCCAAAACAACTGTGTGTTTATCTGAATTTTGGTTCCCTTGGTTGTCCTTGAAGGCCATCTTATCTGAATTCACCTGGAGAACATGTGATCTGACGCTCACCACCCCCTCCCTGAGGAATTTCCAACTGATAACCAGATGAATAAAGTTCATGTCATCATTTCAGGACTCTTGGATTCTCATAGGTTATCCTTGGCCATTCCTCGACATACCTCGAGAATGTTTATGGATCTCACCGGAGGACATTGACTGATTACAGTGACCTCGAGAGCATCTATAAGCGTTGTTGACCATTTCTGTCTCCGATTGCAGAATGTCTACGTTTATATGTGCTTGTTTGTGCGAGGTGTTTTTTATTATTAGAGGGTTTTTCTCTCAGGCAAGAAAAAAAAAGTCTGATAGGAATTTTTTTCGCCTCCGACTCCTCCATGTGTCCAGTTAACCGCTGTTTTTGTCTGTCCAAACAGGTCTCACTTGTAAATGAGTCTTTGAGGCTCAGTGTGACTTATCTGTTTAAATAAAGGTTGAATGAAAAAAAAAGAGTTAGAGACTAGGTGTGCACCGATAAATCGAATGGCCGATTATTTGGCCCCAATTTCCTTAATTTTGGGAAATCATAAATCGGCCAATACTTGCATGAAAAACCAATTTTACCATTTTTTTTAGTTTTAACAACAATTGTCTGAACTTGATTTATATTTCAGAGGACTACATCATGGCCAGTTAAAACAAGTTTGTATTGTTTCTAGGATATTGTTCAAGGGTATGTTTTTCAGTAAAATAATATTGGAAAATTGAAGGTGCATTGTGACCTTATAACACCTGACAGTGTCTTTTATAAAATAAAAAAAAATCTGTATCGTCCAAAATCGGAATCATCAGGCCAGACTTTTTAGAAATCTGTGATCGGTGATCGGCCAGAAAACTGCAATCGATGCACCCCTATTAGAGACATTTATGGTCAAAAAACAGTCAGACTCTGTCCTCTGCAGAACAGAACCAGGACAGGAGACATGGTCCCCCAAAAGCACGAACAGGAAGCAGGTCCAACCCTGAGAGGACGTCTGACCCTCTGTCCTCCAACAGACTGTGGGACATTTGGTTCAACTTTGATACAAAGAGTGACAATCAGTGGTTCTGACCCAGGCCCGTGTTGCCGGACAGATTCATGTCAGTGTCTCCAGCTGCTGTGGACCTGCTCACCGGTCTGGTTGGACCTGCAGGGTCCTCCTGCTCCTACACAAAAGAGACAGGGTTCTATCTGGTTCTGGTCCAGAAGTATTGTGGTTCCTTCAGATGAAAATTTCAAAACCTAATTTCAGCTACCATGTTGTTTTTAGAGAGAAGAGGCCATGACCTGTGACCTTTGACCTGATGACTGAGGCCTGTAGGGTCACTGCACTGTCTGACGTTCAGGGTGAATCTGCTGCTGATTGAAATGTTTCCACGTGAAGAATCTTTCCCTAAATGACCTTTGACCCTGCCCTGATTGACAGGCAGCAACAGCTGCTTCTCTGAGGTCATTGCTGATGTCTTTCTGTCTTGGTGTTGTGCTGCCACACCTGGAAGCTGCAGAGCAGCAGAACCTCCTGATGAGGATCGGTTCATCAACAGAACCTCTGATGAGGATCGGTTCATCAACAGAACCTCCTGATGAGGATCGGTTCATCAACAGAACCTCCAGATGAGGATCGGTTCATCAACAGAACCTCTGATGAGGATCGGTTCATCAACAGAACCTCCAGATGAGGATCGGTTCATCAACAGAACCTCCAGATGAGGATCGGTTCATCAACAGAACCTCCAGATGAGGATCGGTTCATCAACAGAACCTCTGATGAGGATCGGTTCCTCAGCACATTGGATCAGAATCCATCTCTAAAGCATCAAACCTGTTCCTCCCCTCCTGTGGTCTGACAGAGTCTCCTCCTGGTCCAGTTTCCTCGGTGGAGCAGCTTCTCAGACTCATCACATTTTCTACTCGGTTCACCTTTGAGGGCTGGCGGGCCTTCTGAACCCAACAACCTGCTGGTTCAGTGAAATGGTTCTGAGTCCAGACCAGCAAGCTTTGATCGAGCGGGACCGTTTTATCAGCTGAGCAAGACCTGAACATCTCACTGAGGGCCTGTTTCACCTGCTCTTCTTCCTCCTCTTCGTCCCTGCAGGAGGCGACAGTCGAAGCAGAGGAGAGCCAGGCTCTGAGGAACCGGGTCCAGCTGGCTGAGGAGGCCCAGAAGCAGGCCAGGGGTATGGAGATGGACTACGAGGAGGTGGTCCGCCTGCTGGAGGCCGAGATCGCCGAGCTGAAGACCCAGAAGGCGGAGCCTCCGGCGCAGAAGAAGGTAACGGACCCTGAGAGAGTTCTGAAGGCTGCAGTGGTGTCGTCTACACGATACGTGAGCGTACGGAGAAAACCCACTAGAAAAGTTTGAGAACTTCAGTATGAGCTCTTAAAGGTTCCCAATGATGCGTGACATGTCATCAGGCTCGTGCCACCGATACGTTCAACGGCAGTTCAGTGTTTCTCATCTATCTGTCTATCTTCTTACAGTCGCTTATTATTGTGCAATTAATAATTCTGCACTTAAAACTTGAACATGTTTTACTTTGATGCAGTTTTATAAATTCTATAACGTGTTTTTAATACAAAGCCAACTGTTGTACAAAGTTTGTTCATTTATTCAACTATAAGCATCAGAGAAATTTGGAAATGTTCAATATGCTTAAAAATCAAAATAAATTGACGCTTACGTTGAACTGTGCACTTTGGTTTCCAAGCCCAGTGCTCCTGCTAAGACTGCTGCAGAGCGATCGGACCCTCGGTGGGTCCAAACCAGGTCTACAGGATCCTCACTTCATCCTACTTGATTGAAACAAATTGATCTTTCATCTGATTCTTTGTTGTTGTTTACAGATCTGTTGTTGTTGTTTGTTTTCCCTCCAGGAGGAGGCGGAGCAGCTGAAGGTGGCGGTCCTCGAGTGTCAGCTACGGAAGAGCGAAGCAGCCAAAAAGGGTTTTGAGACATCAACAGGAAAGCTGCTGAGTTTTGTGGAGGTAAATAAGCTAAACTGTTTATTTATTTATTTATTCTTTAAAAAATAAACACATAAAATTCTGCTAAACCGATCATCTGATAAACAAACAAATAAAAATATTCTGTTTGTTTTCTGTTCCTGCAGAACGTCCAGGAGTTCCTGATGGAATGTCACGGACCCACCAAGAGCTACAGGTACACGTGCGCGTGCGTGTGCACGACAATATGTTTAATTTTCTTTATTTATTTATATCAGTTTTTATTTATTTACACAAGAAGTTTACAACAATGAAAACAAATAAATAAATTTTAACAAACTAATATTTTATTTTGTTATAATTAAAATTAATCAGGAATTCTTAAAAACTTTTTTTTAATTAATATTTAACAAATGAAACACAAAATAAAAATGTTTAAACAGGATATTTTGTCTAAAAGATAAAAATAAATAAATCAATTGAAGAAGGAGGTCAAATAAAAGTTAGTCCTTAAAAGTCTTTCAAAGCGATGATGTCCTCAGTCTGCGAGGCGCCTGAACAACGAGCATTAAAGTTCTACAGATGAGTGTTTTTTCTGCATGGACTTAAAGGAAACCTAAATGTTTTTCATACAAGATATTCATGTCTGGAGTTACTGCAGAGAGAGCTTTGTTCTGCAGAGTGATGGCTCCTGCAGAGAGGAGGGGTGCATTTTATCACCACCAGGAGCAGTGGAGGAGCCAAGGGGTGCCTGTGGTGGCCTTGGCCCCCATGGACTAATCTTTGGCCACCCCACTCATTTGAGGAAACTATACTTTTAAACAATATAAAAACTATAAAGCATAGTTTCCTCTGAGGATAGGAGTGGTCAATTTAAACACACACACGTGTGTGTATATATATATATTTATATATATATATATATATATATATATATATATATATATATATATATATATATATATATATATATATATGTATGTATAATGGCGGCCATCTTGTACCTAGACATGGCTTATATGTAGATACAGCCACACACCAACATGGAAGTCAGTACCTCGCCTATTTTCTAAATATTTGTGCTCACAACATGGACAGATGGACAGATGGACAGATGGACGTTTTTTCCAATTCCCTCAACATCTCACAGAAACTGAGGAGTCATCACAAGGAGACACAGAGGAGAACTGGACATATAGCACAGCAAAGCAGAACAGGGACAGAGCGACCAGGACGATGAGGACATGGGACTCAGCTGAGCCTGTTGGAAAAGGTACAGGTGAGAGTTGAAGGATCTAAGAAGCATAAACGAACTGAGAAAATGAGCCAATGGTAGAGAGGAACAGAGAAAAACAGAAACATCCATCTATCCATCATCTTCACCCATTTCATCCTTTCCAAGTCACTGGTGTCCATGTCCAACAGTCACTAACAACAGGACACCCTGGACAGCTGGCAAGTCCATTACAGGGACATATGGAGACAAGCAAGACTAACTTAAATAACTAAAGCTTAAACAACTAAAACCACAGATCCTGACACCAGGACGTGTTCCACGGAGATCTCCTCAGCCGATGGGAGTACCTCAGAGACATAATGATGTCTCCAGCTGAGAGTCCATCCGTCCAGGCTTCACACACACTCAGTGGTCCAGTTTGGTCCACTGCAGCTCAGGTAGGACAGCAGCGGGCCAAACTGACAGACTGAGGACTGAGTCCTGTCTGATGGAGAACTTCATTTCTCTTTTTATGTTCTTCTTTTGATCGTTTTCATTGATCTTTTATCATTCCTTTCTGTTTTCCTCGTCAGTTTCTCTGTCCTGCTGTCCGTCCTCCTGGCGTTTCTTGGAGTTTCTTCTTCGCCGGTGTTTTAATCCCACGTTATCTGCTCCATCCAGCAGCTTGTGTAAGCTGGACGTCCTGTTAGCAGCTCGTGTTATGAAGTCGTCCATGCATGACGCCTCCTGCCAGCTTTCTTTTCTTTCCTGCAGGTCAGTGGGACACCTGGGCTTTCATAACTCCTGCCAGAGCCCCTCCCCCATCAAGTCCCCCACCCAGCTGGACCTGCTTTTTATTTTTACTCACCTGTTTGTCTGTTTCTAGGCCACGCTTGGGAAGAAATGTGATCTTTCTGGTTCGTGGAAATCAGGAGACGTTGTTCCCGTCAGCTGTTCCTAATCACTTTCTGAATGATTTGTCAGGTCAGGGCTGAAAACAGAGCTGAACGAGAAGAAGAGAGACAGGAAGTGATGCAGGTCCTTAGAATGTTTGAAGAAACATCTGGCGGTGGATCTGTGGAGCCTGAATAAAGAGGTTTACCACGACCATCACCAGAACCTGCTCAGGAGTCAGGATTTATGAAACAACTTTTGAATTATTGTCCCCTGAAAACAGACCAAGGGCACGCAATGTCTTTCTTTCTGTTAGTAAAATATCTCATGAACCACTGGATGGCTTTCAATGAAACACATAGAAACTATTGGATGTTTGTCTGCAGTTGAAGAACTTTTAGTATCAGTCTAATTTAAGATGGCTGCCACAGCTATCGGCTCTCATCAAGCACAGAAACAAGTTGAACTCTGTCATTTCTACAGCTGTCGGGCTGAAGCTTCATGTGGTAGTAGCTGAGAGTCATCCCCAACACTCTCGGAGCGCTGACAGCTCCTGGAGGGTTTTAACTAAACGAAAATGGCGGGTGACATGCATACTGTCAGGTTCCTCCTCTGACTCCCCTCTGACTCCTCCTCTTCCTGTTTGCAGCTCCGGAGACGTTAAAGTCGGCTCAGTGCCTCACGGACTTCCTCCTCGCTACAAGAAGAGTCTGTGGACGGCAGCCTCGCTGGCCCAGGAGGCCAAGGAGCTGACCCGGTCCGTCAGAGCTGTCCTGGATGTCGACTGTAAGTGAGAGTCCTGCTCCTGCTCCTCCTCCTCCTCCCTGCATGCTGCTCCCTCCAGATGAAGCTGACACCTGCCACTGCAGCGACTCTCCTCCACATTTCAGTGCTGACCTTCTAGGCGACCCCAACCCTCCGCAGGAGCCCAGAGTCTGCAAGACCTCAGCCAGATGCCCCCCAGCATCAGAACTCTTCCTCCATGCTCCTCCTCGTCTCTGCACCTCCTGCTAACGGACTGTGAAACCTGCATGAATCCTGTTTGTGTCTGTGGGCCGCAAGTCGGCCGCCGAACGTCTTGAAACTGTGGCTGCGAGCCGAAGTTCCACCAGGAACCAACATTTGTTGCTTTCAGCCAAACCAGGAGCCGCTCGGCCTCCTGCAGGAGCAGATCCTTCCTGCAGGAGCAGATCCTTCCTGCAGGAGCAGATCCTTCCTGCAGGAGCAGATCCTTCCTGCAGGAGCAGATCCTTCCTGCAGTTCAACACGAGGAAAAGATTTCAGTGAAACTGATGAACGACATGAATGTTTCCAAGTTTGGCCCATTGATTTATTGATCTCACCTTAATAAGTGATCAGAAAAATGGCACCAAATCAAACAGCAATAAGCCAAATATTATATTTTTATCAGAAAATAGATCCATTTATATTTAAAAGAAATGTGTTCTGAGAGAAATGTGTTTTTCTAAAATATGTGACAAAATATCTGAAATATTTAATTTGTTCCTAAAACTCAACAATGTTTTTTAAGTATTTTTATTTGACCTTAGTTTGATCCTTTTTTTACGCAGAGCCTTATTTATATTTTTGTTCCAGGCAACCAGGTGTTCCTGTAACTTTTAAAAGTGTTCTTTAACAAATTTCTCCAGATTTTATGAAGGTCTTTTTATTTAACTGCTCCTCTTCTCAGTTTAAATCCAATTTCTGAACCTGAACAAGTTATTGAGCAACTTTATTTTTCTTTTAATGGCCCTTTTGGGTTGAAAACAACCAATGGATCCAAGAGAGATCCATGCTCCTGAGGATCTGATGGGATCTGATGCATCAGCCCTGAGGTGGACCATTCAACTAATCTGATGAACTTCACTACATATTTAAGTATTTTTTAATATAATGTTTATTATTGTTGATCAGCAACGACAATAAATAAAGGTTTGCTTGACAGACCATAATATTTAAGCCCTTAAAAGGTTTAGATATACAGTATTTATTGTTGTTTTCGTAAAGATAGCCTCAGGAGTTTCAGTTACAACAATCAGTAAGCCCCAAAACAGTTAGAACATTGTTTTTAAATCAAAAACAGGCAGAACATCGTTTTTCACCCAAAAATAGGTGGAGCATTGTTTTTCACCCAAAAAGAGGCGGAGCAATGTTTTTCACCCAAAAAGAGGCGGAGCAATGTTTTCAACCAAAAAAAAGTGGTGCAGTGTTTTTCAACTAAAAAGGCATGAACCATTGCAAATATGTACTAGGATGTTTTGATCCAATTCATCTTCAAAAGATTGTTTGTTTGTTTGTTTGTTTGTTTGTTGTCCCATTTAGCGTTGCCTATGAATCATTTAAATATAAAAAAGGCCCATAAACTCAAGGGATGAACCAGAGTTGTGCCGTCACATTACAGACAACTTGTTTTGGATTTTTGGGCTCTTTGTTCGCAGCAGCATGTCACGAAGCCCATTTTGTTAGATGGGTCTAATAAAAACCCCAAAGATCAAACAGTCTGACAGAAAATGATATTTCAGAGCCAACAGGGGGATTCCCAAAGGATGGAACAAGTCCTTTCAGTATAAACTTGTTTGGTGATCAGTGAGTCTCCTGCAGCGTTGGTTGGTCCTCTAACTCCATGCTTTGTCTCTGTATAGAAACTTCCTTCATCTCTACGGGTCAGTAGACACTTCAGTAAAATAAGGTGACCAGCTCCACGCCGACTTCCTGTAGCTCTCTGTCACCATGTCTAGCTCTGTGTTTACGAGGCTGAACGCTTCTGTTCATGCCGTAGATTAGCTGATAAACCAAACCAAGCATCATCGTCACCGAGCAGAACCGAACTGAAGGATAAATCCAACACCAGGACAGACGGGTTCTGTTAACCCGGTTCTGACAAACTGGCCTGCCAGGACATCTTGTTTGGAGTTATCAGCTCTTTGTTCCCTTTCAGAGGAAATCTTCTGGTTTGGATTGGAACCAGGCTCATGTGATGCTGCTAATCTGTAAAATATGGTCAGAGTTTGTCTGTTTGACCCGCTGGGCTGTGATTGGTACCATCAAATAAAATATTTTGGTTTGAAAGACTCGTTCTGTTCTGTCTGAGACTAACAGGGCACCTTAAGTTTGGACTCTGGGCTGATGGGCCCAGCAGCCAAACCAACCGCTCCCAAACTGTTTAAACTTCTGAGCCACCAAACACCAGCAGAGCCTTGAGAACCCAAGTGTCTTGAAGGACGTTAGCATCACTAACGAGCCAGCTAAACAGAAAGAGACAACATAATGAACTTTGTTCTGCGTTTACGCATTCACGACTGGTGTTGGTGTTTTTTCTACAACGTGACTTTAGACTAATTTCTGAAAATCATCCCAAGCTGAAGTTCATGACCACAGGTCTAAACTGGTCTGAGTAACTGCCAGACGGTGTCAGTTTGTACAGAGCGCTGGTGCTGACGGTTCTTCGGATCAGTTTGTCCTCACCTACATTTCTGCAGTCGGGCCGTCGAGGCTGAAGTGACATAATCCTCTGCCGTCTTTCATCGCTCAGATAATCAGCAAGAAAACCGAGCACGACTCAGAAAGTAGGTCACCTTTTAGAGTTCACACACTGACACACTTTCCTTCCTCATAAATCACTTCTGTGTTCATTGTCAGAGCCTAGCTCTTATTTTGATGAGTACCTGGCAGCTTTATTTTGAAATTCCAGGATAAAAGCTCTAAGTTTTCATGTTTCAAACCCTGAGTTCTTCTGATTAGTCTGATTAGAGGCGAAAGAAAGTCTGAGATCCTACAGGATCTATGGAAGCTCAGATACACTGGAAGTCAATGAGAGTTTAGTTGTGTGACCTCTGACCATTTATAAAATTAAAATTAATGATCTAAATTAAGAATCCTAAAATCCATTCAAAAAGAACAATTAGTCAGATTACTAAAAAAATAACTAAGACTTTTCCTTCCAGATGTTTAGTCTGAGCAGCTGGAAACCTTCCAAGTTCACCTGAACATCCTCAGAGCTTTGGCTTTACACGTTAAAACAATTATGTTGACAAAAACCCCAAAAGTAGCTCCAGCCCAGGGGCCCCCACCATCTTTAATACGGCCCTGCTGAAGGTAGATCTATCTGCATAAAAAGATTTAAATTTCATTTTATAGTTAAAGTTTGATTTCATCAACCTAACAGCAGTTTGAGTCCATTTCAAGCAAAGTTGTTTAAATCCTGATTTTTTTTTTTAAAAAAATTTCAAATTTAAAAAAAAAAATTCAGTTCAACCTGTTTTTCTACAGGTGAGTCTCATTGAGCCTCCAGGACTCATTTACAAGAGAGACCTGATTTTAACAAAGAATGATGAAAACAGTAGACAATCATAAAAAAGTAAATAAAATGAAAAGGAAATAGAGGAAATGATGTAAAAAATGAAACAAAAACTGTTACATTATAAAGCAGTGTAAAATAAAAACAGGAACATGTCTGTGTAACAGCCCTGGAGGCGGGGCTTTAAATAAGTTAGCAGAGTTTGGGGTAACACAGGAAGTGGGCCCACAAAAATAAAAGTCCTTGACTAATTGTGGGTTACATCTGCGTTGGTTTTTGTCACGAACTTAGCAGTTGTTTGAAGACAACTTTATTTATAAAGACAAATTTATCTAAACTGAATGTCGGACCATTGGTTCTGGTTGTCTCCTGCAGCATCCTAAAGCCATGAGACCTTTGGTCTGAGTCTCACAGGTCAAGGAGTCTGAACCTGGTCTCATCCTGATTACATGAGAAGTTTCTGTCATTAAATTGATTATTCCCGTCTCGTTGCCTGAAAACATTTCTCAGCTGTAACAATTATTTTTTTGGTCTTTATTTTGTCTATATCTCTGAGGATGTCCCACAGTTCATGATGTGGACATAAATCAAAGTTCCTGTCCTCTGTCCTCAGCATAAATGAAAATGTTCAAACTCTTCTACAGACTGTGAGACAGACACAGTTACCGTGACGACCCAGCAGCCGTGTGTAGATCGGTCCACGGTGACCAAACAGAACTTATTTCAAGTGAAAAGAGACTGGTTCTGTGAGGTCTGTTAATGCTGCTCCTGAGGACTGATGACTCAGCGTCAGAACCTGAAGGTCCAAAACATTTGATCTTCAGATTCTTTAGATCAGCTCTCATCTGTTTGTCTTCACAAACACGCTTTAGGAGAATAAAGAAACCTTCCCAGTGGGTTTGTGAAGCTTACACCTCCTGGAGGAGCTGGGGGGTGGGGGGTGTTGTGGCCAAGAAGGACAAAATGCAGAGACCACGTATCAATTAGAGAGGGTTAAATCATCCATCTGTCCACCTGTCCATCCATCCATCATCCATCCATCTGTCCATCCATCCATCCATCCATCCATCCATCCATCCATCCAACCATCCATCCATCTATCTATCTATCCATCTATCCATCCATCCATCCATCCATCCATCCATCCAACCATCCATCCATCTATACATCTATCCATCCATCCATCCATCCATCATCTTCCTCTTGTTCTGCCCTCAGGTCTCAGGGGCAGCATCTTGAGCAGGGAGGTCCAGCCACCTCTTCCAGCTCTTCTGGGAGGACTCCAAGGAGTTTCCAGGCCAACTGAGAAACGTAGTCTTTCCAGCGTGTCCTGGGTCTTCCCCAGGGTCTCCTCCCAGTCAGACATGCCTGAAATACCTCCCTATAGGGAGGCGTCCAGGGAGCATCCTTACTAGATGCCTGAACCACCTCAATGGACTCCTCTCAATGTGAAGGAGCAGAGGATCTACTCTGTCTCTCCTGATAACTG